AAAAAATCATCTAGGCTACTACAGGCGATCTGCAGCGCCCCTCATACCTTCATCGTCCCTCACGTCACAGACCACACCGTAATTGCCGTTTCCACCATCTCCACACCATACCGTAACCACCAATCCTACAAAAAAATTCCCAATCCGCCCCTGCCACCACGAATCACACAAATCCACACATCACAACCACAAATCCACCATACTGCAACAGTCTCCACAAGTCCACCAGATTGCAATCGTGTTGCCGCCGCCATCACGACCGAACTGAAGAAGCTGTAGGTTCACATCGCCACGCTGCGACGGCGCGACGAACACATCAACGGTCACAGGTATCTCCGGCAACTGCTGCTCCTCGACAACGACAACGACAATTGAATGGGTAGGAACGAAGCAGTGTCATTGGAAGCGAGAATTGACTGCATAAGGGAGAAATTGGATAGCCGGGAATGAAGCAGCTTCTGAACAACGGCGATGCTACAGAACAACCGCGAGCGGCGATGAGTGATGCGGTTTGGGTGGAGAGACGGAGAGGAGAAGAGGAGAATAGGTAGAGTGAGCGACGGTGAGAATAGAGAAGGTGGAGACAGCATCAATTATTTCTCCGGCAATGGGAAGAATCGTCAGCTGTAGTGGCAGTGACGGCGACGACGTTTGAGCAGAGAGAGTGGAGAGGAGATGGGTTTGATTTTAGGGTTTGATATTAGGGAGATATGGTAGGGATGGTATATAAATTAATTTATATTGTATATAGATAGAAAAAAAAAATTAAATTATTAATTAAAACCTGATTTTTGTATTATGAAACTTGATTCTTGATTTATGATAATGGAAATCTAAAATTTCCTCAATAATAAAATCATCGTAGAGAATGTCTCCTTTCTGAAACATGGCAAGTTTTCAAAAGTGAAATTAAGCCCATGTTTGACAACCATTATTTTCAATTTTTTTTTTCTACACACTCATTTTCAATCATATTCACAATAAAATATTCTATATGCAAACCTAAAATTTTTCCCTAATTTTTAACCGCACATTCTTTTAAAAATCATTATTCAAAACTCTTTTTGGCGACCACTATTATTTAAATTAAAAATTACATTTTGATCAAATTATGTTCAAAATAAATTCTTTAATTCAATTATCTCAAATAAATAAAATTTCATATAATTTTTAGTAAATTGGAGATAATTAAATATCAAATTATTTTCTTTCAATGGGTTGGACATTCTCATCATTAGACCTCGATTGGACTTGGACTCTCTAGTGACTAGTAAGATAATGGTAGGCTTTAAATCAGTTCCATCGCATTCTAAAAATTCCGGAATATTACATCATAACTACTAAAAATAATTTCATCCTAGAATTTTACCTTGATAGATGAAGAGACGGATACTTAACTTTGATATCTTCTTCTTTCTCCCGGTTGCTTCATCTACTCCATGATTCCACCATTGAACTTTTACCCAGCGTATCTCTATTTCTCAACATATGAATCCTCGTGTCCAAAATACCTATCGAATGCTATTTTAAAGATAAGTCCTAATGTATTTCCAAATACTGATAGTTTACCACTTGTCGAGGGTCATGTACGTACTTTCTAATCATGGACACGTAAAACACATTGGATGTCACCGAGGGTTCGGGTGGTAGTACTTGACAGTATGCTAAATTCTTAGTCCTCTCAAGTATTTCAAATGGTCTGGTGAAACGAGGACTCAACTTTTCTTCCTTTCCAAATTGAAGCATGCCCTTCAGGGGTTCTACCTTTAGAAAAAATTTACGATGTAACAGTTTGATAGAAACATTTTAACTTTTTAGTCGATACTAATTAACACAATATCTACAATTGTAACATATGATCCATTCTATCTATAAAGATAAGAATATAATACTTAAATTCATTAATTATAGTTAAATGACATAAAACAACAAACAAAAGAAAATGAATAGAAAAATGAAATACGATAATATCTTCTATAACTTTTTTTGTGAATCATCCAATGTTCCATTTCATCCAAATATTGACAAATCACTATAGTTCCTTGTTACTATGCAACCAATTTTTAGGGCAAATATTTGCTTTAATCATATTTGCGCTGTTAAAAGAATAAAAAATTCGATCACTAGTAGGGAATGTGACTCAGAAATAATTGTGGTTATTTGAATGGGCGGTCAATGAATATGGCAAAGTAGCAATTGTTCAATACTTTACTCAATTTGAGAATTTTGCATTTACAGTTGTGATCACTAATGTGTATTTGAGTATGATTTGATTAATTAATTGTGATATATAATTGTCTACATAGGTATTGAGCATAATTGAGTTATATCTAATATATATGTATCTTTTTAACAGGGATGTGTTTAATTTTAATTGGGTTGTAAAAATTTAGATTAATTTATTTTTAATTTTTTTTGTAAACGGTTTGCAAAGATTGAAATCTAGTCCAAACAACTTCGAAAGAGTTTGGTTTGATTCAAAAGCAAAATGTTAACAAATCCGCGTAAACCCAAACCAACAATTTCAAAAAAGCGGTTTCGATTTTGTTTTACGGTTTGACGACTTCGTTGTTCAGCTCTAGTAATACCAACATACTTTAATTTACATAAAAGGGAAAACAAGATTTATTAATAACTAACTTTGATAAACTTGGGGCAAAGATAATGTTTGAGACTAAAACATCTAAACAACTAAAGGAAACTAACGTTTCAGCTAAGCAATACTTTGTCCTAATCAAGTGCTTCAAATGAGCTAAATAACAATAAGAAAGTTGACGATAACAATAATGAAATTCAAATTCAACTCTAATCCTCTTCATGGCCTCATAGTCCGCAGTCTCCTCGCGAATGGAGACCTCCCAATGGTTGGCAAAGGTATCTCAAAAGACCTCAAAATTCAGAGGGGTCTGGGTCTTCAGCCAACATCAATTCTCTAAACCTCCTACCCACGCGCTCCTCAGTAACGGAAAGGGTACTTATCAGACCCTCAAATCGTTGATCGTGACTAACTCTATGTTCGTTCTCATCACTTCTTGCCATGCAAACTGAAAATTATCAGGATCAATGCTATGAGCTTCCCGAATACAATGGGACCTTTGCAAAGTTGATCATTATGAGTGTTATGACGAATTTGATTGGGAGTGTAGAATTTGATGAATTTGAATGTAAAGATGATGAACAGTGAATTATTACATGAGTTCTGATTTACAATAATGGAATATGTGAAGCTTATAAAGAAAGATAAGCAACGGTTGCCTATGTCTATGCTAGTGTTGACCTACTGTACAATGAAAGAAATTGGTAGAAAGTTGAGTTGGCAACTCTGACTATTGCTGCTCCTTTGACCAGAATTGCGCCTATGATGAGTGACATCTCTGAGGCCTGATACTGTACTGATCTGATGCCTTCCAAATATAGCCAAATATAGCCAATGATGATCATAAGTCTGAGGCTATAATATTAATTCCTTCAACAGGGAGGTTCAATGGTCCAGCGAAATCAAAGAGAAAAAGCTCTTTTCTTCTTCTTGGATAGTCTTCTATGACAATGACATGGAGTCGAAGCACTAAAAGGAGAATTGGGAATTTTTCCAATTGGAGATCCAAGTATTTTTCCTTGGAAATGGAAAACTCGCCCACCGAATTTTATCAACTTGCAAATTCTGTCTCAATTAACAAAATGAAATTGGCTGATATTATGACGATCACCAACATGTTGTGAAAATGAGTTTCTGGTCCACCTCAAGATAGACTCGTAGTTCAAGTTGTGCTTCAAACATGTAGACTGCCTAGCGGTATATTTCATGAGTTAAGCCATTTTACCAGAAAATGTTGCCCACTTAGTTGACAGATGCAGTGTTGGTAGGGAACTAGTTATTACCAAATAATCACACATACACAAATAAAACCGATCATTTATCACTTTTAACATCATCCGAAGATAGTGCAAGGCTTGTCATCAGTCATCCCCAAGACAGACAAGCGGTTGAAGAGCAACGCCGCCAACACTGATGTAGTAATCTCCAAATTTCCACAGAAAATGACATTGGAAAGCATTGCAGCTTACAATTCATTTAAAATGATCAAATTTTACCAATGAATCTGGCTTTTACCTCGCACTTTTGGAATTCAGTGAGATGACTTTGGCCAAGTAGAAAATACTCCTACGGGACGAATATGGTTATCCTATCCTACGATGAGATACTTAAATCATGCATGTTGGTGTTCACTATATACCTGTTCTGATCGGAGGGTTGTCTCATGTTATATCATAGCTTTATTAGTCCAAGCAAAATAAGAGCATAAAGAGAAATGTGACTCCAACAGAGGCACCAACATAGTTTTAAACAAGTTTGCCTGTGGCCTGTAGACATTATGAAATTTCTCAATATCTCCACAAACAAGAAATTGAGCAAAGTGAAACAATCAAATAATCCCAAAAAAACGTTTATCATTTTCCCGCAGGATTATTGTGCACGGAATTTCAAAGTACTCAGCTTCCATCTCTCAGTAAGAAGAAAATAGAAAAAAAAACTGAACAAAGCTTTCCAACACTCGTTTAAAACAAAACTAAACTAAACTAAGGGCTAAAATCAGAAACAGCATTTTGACATCTTACCTAACAAAATCAGAAAAAAGAAAACTTTATTCCATTAGTTGCAGCAAACAAATTATATTCTTCAACAGAATCTCTCTTACTGCACGCATCGTGAGCATCGGGTTGGTTCGCAGATAAATTTGGAGAAATGTCCCCTGCAATAACTTCTTTCAAAGAGTCACCATCCAATTTATATCCTGCCGAAAGAGCTACAGGGCCACCAAAGTGGAAAAGAGAGAAGCTTGTATTTCCCATTTCTGATGTTTCAGAATTCAGACACTGCTTAATAGTTGGTGCTACCTTCTGTATATTAGATCCATGTTCACCTTCTTTTAGCACATCTAGATTCGGAACCTTGGCGCACTCTGTTCCAATGCCATTAACATGAGCAGCTGGCTGGAAAAAAGGCAACTGAGCAGAATTGAGTAAAGGTGGAGCCAGATGCTGTAAGGCTCCGTACTGCATAAGCAGTGCATTTCCATCCAGACCGTATCCAAAAGGGCTAGCAACTAAATAGTGGCTGTGGTGGGGGAAGGACATCATTCCATTTGTAGCTGGCCAAGAAACTGGACTCTGATGGCAATAAGGCATTGTTGGTGCCTGGAACATTGGACAGTGTATGCTTTTATTGTGGAATTGTGGAAGCAAAGATGGAGGCTGGGCACCCGCACTGACATTTGATCTCCCATTATCACAATATGAAGTGGCTTTCATAGTCAAATTCCCCAAAGAATTGGTTCCATCACATTCAAGTGTCTGGCTAAGGGTGTCATCCCCCCTCTCCATGCTTTGCCTTGGCTCCATCACAACTCTATGAGACTTGGTGTAGACATTTTCAAGACAATGCGAACTTTCTATCCCCTCTGAACTTTGGCTGGCCTCATCTGAATCTGATGTGGTTGATGAGTCCAAGATTGGATTGTTTGAAGAGGATGTGTTGCAGTCTTCCTCACTGAGGCAGGAGGAGCAGTTGTCGGAGTTAGAAGAGCTACCTATTGATGAACCTAACGCTCCATGTAAAGATATTGTCGAAGAACATAACTTGCCATCCTCTTCTGCTACATCCTCTGAGTATTGCTGGAACTTTGCCACTGACTGAAATCCATTTTGTCCTTTTCTGCCATTTTCAGTCCTAGACTTCATTGAATCTTGCAAACCATTATCCTCGCGGTTGGTTGGTACAGAAATACTAGTCATTTCGTCAGACTGAATGGCAACAGGTAATTCAGGGAGGAAGTCGGATTCAGCACCTTCAACTTTGAAAGTAGATATTGAGGTAACATCAGAATCTGAATTGCTTCGGATGTATTTCTTCCGTGAATCCAATGGTTCCCAAACTTGCTTAATGTTAGGTGAAGTGTTACCAGCTATAATTTTGCTTTTAGGTCGTCCACTCATCTCATGTGAACACTCGACTTGGTTGTACTTGTGTCCACGATAATATGGTTTTGACATACCAGAGACCTCCAACTTATTCACATATTTAGGGTCCCTGACTCTTGTAATATGTGATTCGGGCCTTGCTCTGTAATCATCACGATGGTCACAGCTGCGAGCACGTGAATCAAATCTGTCACCTATCCTACTTCTAGTACCCTGAAACTGTTCACTAAATTTTGGGCCAACATTTCTATTGTTCTTTGAAGCATTATTTCTAACATCAAAGCCATCGTCATGATATCTTGATTCATATTTGCTAACAGTACCCCCAAACTCTGTTACAAGGGTACTTTTTCTCCCACCTGACCATTTTAAGTTCAAATCCTGTTGGGGGTCTTTTTTAAACTTAGGCTTCCTGCAAGAATATTTGATGTGATTGTGCGGGAAAGAGCAGTTCCAATCTCTCATATTGCCGAATTCCCCATCAGGACTGTCTTCTGCATGGTTTTCCGTATTTGAATATATTATATCCTTCAAAAACTGGCCATCTTGAATATCTGGAGACAAAGGGCTGGATGAAATAGGTTCACCGGTTTCACTGACAAAATCTTTGCTTCTGACTGCATTTGAATTTTCATCAACAGTGAGCGTTGGTTCCTCCTTCGAAACATCAGGAACTACAGGATCTTGATTTGATTCAGCACATTTCTCCTCCTTGTTTTCCTTCTCTCTTAATCTTTCCTTTCTTCGGAGCTTTTTCTCCCTCTCTTTTGTTCTTCGGCGCACCTTTCGTTCTTCTTCTTCACGCTTTTCCTTTTCTTCTTCTTCAAGAAGTTTAATCTGTAAAATCAAAGTTGAATGAGAGATAGAGATGATACCATGAAATTCGAGATTCCATGGCTGCAAAAAGCTTGAGGAGAGCTTTACATTATTACAGGTTCAGTACCTGCTTTTCTAAGGTAATGATTTCCTTGCATGCTACATGAACGCGTTCTTCCAGCAACTTCAAAGCAAGGCACACAAAAATGCTGTGGGCATTCTGCCGCGCAGTTCCTTCTCTAAAGGCCTTTTCAACCTGCAGAACATATCCAGCACCTAAGAAAACTTCCAAATGCCAACAAATACACTTGCAGATTAAAAGTTAAGACCTTGGTACATTAAGAACATATAGTAAGCAAAAAAATAACCTTAAGTCCTTCAATTTATTCTTTCCCCAATAATGATCAAATTTCCAGGTACAACTACAAAAGGTATTCTAGTTATGCTCGTTCAACCTCTAATACAGTTGCAAATTCCACTCTATAAGGAGTTTATCGCATTAGAAGTTTTGATGTGAGAATTTCTAATGATAAACGAAAATATATCCATCCTTTTCAAAACTTGATTGACATACCTCAGAAGCTACGACCATGTATATATAGTAGGACATCTTAAAATATCAAAATCAATTAACCCACGAATATGAAGCAACTATTATTCGAGCTACGCTGTGAACTACAAATATGGCAAACATGGGATACCTAGGACTCTCTCCAGTCTCCATCACTAACTAAAAGAAACTATAACCGACTACAAAAGACAGGATATCAATTCTGTTGTTACTTCCTGTGAATTCGGAAAGATAATTCATAGAAAAGGATAGAAACAATGAACATGCCTGTTCCTTGAATATTACAGTTGCAGCATCTAGAAGGAAATCTCTAGCAAGTTCAGGACTCTTTGCATGTTTCTGAGGACGGGAGCACTCACTATCGAAGTCATTTCCATCCTTGTCCATGGAATCATCATCCTGAAACCATAATGGAATTAAAATCATAACAAGGAATATCATGAGAAAAAATAGCGGAATGAAGGAGAAGGTTATAGGAAGGAATTCCCACATCTAGACAATATAATTAAAACCCACAAGTTGATACCTCTTCTTCTTCGGCCTCCTCCGCATGCTCGAAGAACGTTTTGATGCTTTCCCCACTCGTAATTGTAACAAAACCATCTCCAACAAAAAGCCTGCAATGAACGCATTGTTGACCTCTCAAAGCATGAGCTTTCACACAAAGTTCAGAGCAGCGTCCATCCATTTTCCAGGCCCGTAGAGTTATATAACACACATGCAAGCCACTAAGATTTAGACCACTCGCTTGAACTCTTCCACTCAGTCCAACATTTTCAAACTCCAAGATATCAGATTTTCCTTCTCCACTTCCAATTGCCCATTCAAAGTGATGATATGATCCAAATGCATCTAAAAATGTTTGATGCCAATCGGCTTGAACTGTGTCATAAGAAACCTGACAATCGATAAAAAAAGATGCATCGTACTTCGAGGAATTTAAATTATAAAAAAGATATAATCTGAATGTCTAACAATTCATGAAAAAAGGAAAGAAATTACAATTGCAATATAGTTCAGAAATGAAACCTCATATTGGAAGGCTGTGTCTGCTACACAAAACCAACTTGTGCAACGAGTTTCCCTCCGCGTGCGTTTTAGTTCCTTCAGCTCCTTGAACTCTTTTATAACGTTTCTTCGGCAATCTCTACAAAAGCTCTTGCTATCAAACCTGCGACGAGAAATGAATACTTCAGACTAGGACTAAATAACGAAACCGTCAAACCAAACCAAAACCACTTTTTCAAAACCATTGGTTTGGGTTCAAATGGATCCATTAATGTTTTGTTTTTGAACCACACCGCTTTGAAGTGGTTTGGTTTAGGTTTTGATTTTTGAAAACCATTTCAAACTGTTAAAACCGCTTACAAAAATAAATTAATTTAAATTTTATCCAACCCAATTAAAACTTAACAAGTCCCAAATTAAAAAGAGACATTCGTATTAGACCAATCCCATTTAAATCTAAAGATGCTACTCAACCTAGGAGCTCAATGTCTTCACAAGCTCCTTTGTGATGCAGACCCCTTCCCTCAATTTTTAAACTTAGACTCATGCGGGAAGGAAGTTCAAGTTGAGAATAATGATTTGATGTATTAATTAAATGATCGTTGTAAAGATTTGACCATGGAGCATTTCGACACATTATTTTGGTGCAAATTGAATGAAAATAAGTACAAGATTGTCTCCCAAATTGTCAAAGTTGTGTTAACTATTCAAATATCTATAGTGGCTTTTGAGTGAATAAATTCTTGATTCATTTAGGAGTTCCTTGAGTACAAAGATGGTTGAGGCGGTTTGCACTAAGAATTGGTTGTATAGTAATAAGGAACTGATTCATCAATATTTGGATGAGGTGGAAGCATTAGATGATTCAGAGAATGTTATACAAGATATTATCATTTCTCATCTTTCTATTATTTTTTTATTAGTTATTTTATGCCATCTAGTTATAATTAATGAATGCAATTATTATATTCTTATCTTTATGCTGATAATAAATTATGTCTTACAGCTGGAGATGTTGAGTCAATTAGTATCGACTAAAGGGTTAGAACTAAATATTTTCTAACGTATTATTGCATTGCAATGATTAAAAGTGCAGAACTTTCGTTTATAATATTCGTAATGATACTAATATTTATGATTTGACTTATTTATAATTTGACTTGGTCCATGTATATATTTTTTTTATTTGCTAACCGTGGTTTTACACTGATCTAAATCGAAAAAAAGTGTTTTGGTTAGGAAAAATTTCAAACCAATTTAAGTAATTTGGTTTGGAAATGTCATAAACCGTCCAAACCAAACCGTTTTAACCTACTTCAGACTGGGATACAATCAACCACACGTGCATTTCAACTTATAAAGTCCGTAAAAGTAAATTTCTGCTTGGAAAGTAACTTCCATATTTGTTTTTATTGGTTTCTTTTGACATACCGCATGCTCCACTTAGCAAAACAAGAATAAGAATTATAGTCATAATTATATAACATGGCCACATTTTCCCATCGAACCATCACCTTGTTATTTATCCAACTTTCCCTCTAATAGTAACAAAGATGAAAAATTGTGCACATTAAATGTACATTCTAAAAATAAAATTTAAATCGATCGCTTATGAGGGAAAACAGCAAGATTTACTCAAATGAGACACTGCGGCAAAATAGTTTAAATAAAGTTGCTATCATTCCTCAAAATAATTGTTATTTCAGCATGTTAATGAGTTATTTTACTATTGTCACCTTCATTCCCTACAAGTGAGTAGCAAAGCCGAAAGGTACCTTTAAATAACTAAAACTTTCTGTAATAATTAAACCACTCACAGGACAGCTCTAAGCTAACTTATTATGCGACTTTGATATCTTAGACCAGAATGCTTGCAAAAATATTACAGTGCTGATTGAAAGACCAGCATCACCCAACAAGAAACACCAGCAGACAACCTATAAGAGGTGAACATTGCAGAAAAGAAAGTGAATTGCCATCTACAGAGACCTACATCAAGATAAGCTTTAATTGGTCATTCTCAAAGACTGGCAACACTGCGGATGCTTAGCATAGTAAAACAGACTTTTGTAGCAACCGGCAAATAACAAGACCCCTTTTTTTTATTTCATGGAAGTCTCAGTAATCTACAGGTTAATACTGATTCATACAGCTAGAGTTCGAAGTGCTTAGATAATGGAACCATTGAAAACCCAAATTTTACCCACATGAATACACAATTTGACATCACTAATCAACAGAAAAGGGCAGCAAAAGTCATATATCATTCCTTGCATTAGGTCTTAATAGTCTTGTTTGTGCGAACCAACCAATTTCCGTCATGCCAATTAAGACATCAAGATGGGACAAAGTAAACTAAAATGAGCATGTGTGCTAGTCTTAAGCAAGGCAGGCCAAGTAGTTCCTAGACTCCTAATGAAAATTTCAGATCTTTGTACTTGTACACATAAGATGACATACTTTGTTCCTATAGTACTTAATGCTGCTTAGCATTTCCAGATGTTACCATTATAGCTGCTTAGACCAATCATTTGATGTCAAACTCTCCTCTTCACCTAAATTCATTACTCCATAAAAATCATAGAAGTTTGAGAAAATGAAACGAGACGACGACTTTTTTTCCATCAAGTAGAATCAAATTAAAATTACCTTTCCATTTTGAATAGCTGATTTCCCCTCCTAGTTTAAACCAGCCAGGATACGGCCCTCTGGGCCACTTAATAGACAACTAAACATAAGACTTCTCCTAATAACAACCATTTCAATATTTGCACTTGTTTGAAACAGCTATCTAACTTAAAAAGAAAACGAGAGGAAAAAGGAGTACAAACCTATACATGAGCCTTTCAATAAAATCTTCTTCCTTCATCTTCAGAAGTGACTGGTGAGTCTCTTCCCCAAGTGCCGACCAAAAATCCACCAACGTCTCCACTGGCAACCTGGCAGTGTGAAGAGCACATGTTTCCCTTGTTCCATGCGCTCTTCCATATCCTGCCATTGCTTGGCTAATCCATCCTCGACCACCCCCTCCACATGCATCAGGATAAAGCAACTCACGTTCCCTTTCCCGTGCACGTGCACTGTTGAAGACCTGATTCAAATCAAATAAAGTTAGTTGTGTCCCAATAAAAGGAGAAAAAAAAAGGCAGAATGGTACTTTATAAAATGATTTACATTTTGGAGGCCATTCAAAGATTTTGAATAAAGATAACAATCCAAAAGGGTAAGTGTCCCGTCTCGAGCCGCTGTTAATCCTCCCCATGTGAGTATAGATGGGTCTTGAGCATCATCTAGGTGCCCATCAGTAATATATAAGTCACTGTCACTTTTGTTGGCTCTTATACTGCAATTTCCACCTACAACATCCTGCTGTATGGACTTCCCATACATGACAATCTGCAAAAAACCTTCAAGCAACAATCCATTGCATCTAGAGCAGTACATGTTCTTACGAGCTTGCTCAAAGAATGTTTGCTTGTCAATCCTCAAGAGCTCCTGCCGCGCTTGCGGCGCCAGATCACTCCAAAACTGCAAGATAACAAGAAACAACCTTCTATTATGCATCCTGTTTAACTTATAGGACTACAAAATAGAAACTCATTATTATTAAATGATCATATGCATTAATTGAAAACACGTCAAAGGACAAAACGACCACTTCAATAATTTCATTTAAACTGCATTGATGAGAATGGCGGAATAACATTAAGTCCATAGTAATAGTAAAGTAGATCCAGTTGTATTAATGAAGCACAAACTTTATCATTCAAATGACGTTGTCTAATATAACAATGCTTATCTGTCAGATTAATGCAGGAACATAACAGTGCAAGAGGTCATTTCAGGATAAAAGAGAGCAAACACTTTTCTAATAATAGGGATAGACGAGAAATGCACCTATATCACAAAGTTTTTTAGATTACAGTTCTTATTAAATTAAAATGAAAAACATAGTGTTTAAGTGAGCATAGTTTTAGTAATTAATCCAGCGAAGAAGGCATAAAACAGATTAAAACCACATATTTCTTATGAAATACGCTATAGGATCAAATCCAAAATTAGGAAAATTACTTCCAGAGAACATACAATCTAAAACCAAAATTTAGACCATCATTCAAACTATAAGATCTAGAATAAACCAAAATTCAGGCCATCAATTCAATAAACCACCAAACCCGATAATTAAGTACTAATTATTTTATTAATATTTCAATGGAACTGATTAGTATACATGCGTTGTATGTGTGTATATATACCTTCTGGAGATGATTGCAGCTCACATCATCACCATGGTCTGACCAGATCCTGTAACCCTGACCTCCAAAAACTAACCGTCTATTCAAGACAGGAAACGACACCGGTCCACTCCCCGCCAATGGATTCTGATAAACATTATTATTATCGCTAAAATTATTATACCTCTGCGTTATCCCTGGCATTTTTCCCTAATTTATTTCCTTGCGCTCATTTCAATAATTCCCTCCAATCTCCGCCATCTTATTCACCCAAGGCGATAAAACAATGCTCTGAATCTAGCATAAATTATCCCTCGATTATCCGTATTTCACAGATGAAAAATCAAATGAATTCAGACGAATAAGATTTATAGAAAATGATAGGTATATGTATATAATTATATATAACGAATCTATATATCTACACAAATGGGATCTCTAATCCGTGGGTGAATTTGATTGTGAGAATCGAGGATACAGGGTTGGGGGAAAAAGTTGGCGACTCGGTTAAAAGGTATGGGCGTGGCTCATGAGAACTCTATTTTGTATATGTAGAAATTTCGAAATAGAGATGTAGAGAATGAGAACTGTATTTTAACCAAGAAATGGTTAAAATATAGTAGACATTTAAGCCTCTATTTGGTACACATTATTTTTTTTATTCTCATTCTTCTACTAATTTTCAACCACACATTCATCAATAAAATAATATTTTCCATCACATCAATAACTTTTCCTTCATTTTCAACCACAAAAAAAGTGTGATTTGACACAAAGAATGCATTCTTTTCTAGAATAATATCTCATTCTTCTACTCATTTTCAACCACACATTCTTCAATAAAATAATATTTTTCATCACATCAATAACTTTTCCTTCATTTTTAACCACACATTCTCCATCAATCTACTATTCAATAATACATTCTTTCAAAAGAATATGTCCCAAACACACCCTAAATTTGCAATTGTCATTTACAAGTTTTGGGTCCATATTGTTTTGGAATTTTGTTTATAATCAGGTGCTCGAATTTTTTGGAACCATCCCACTCAAATCAACAGGTTTGATCCGATTGTTATGATTGTGACAATCATCTTCATCGTTTCAAATTTAACATTTGCGTTCTTATTTACATTTGTGAAAATGTTCATTGTTGTATGGTTTTGTCCATCTTGTACTCCGCTCAACTCTTTTAGTAAGGATAATTTGCTTTAGTCATGGTATTATGTTTTTCCCTACTTAATCCAAGTCACGCTTAAACGATAATATCAGAATATTTATATATACATATTATTACCATTTGCTTAAGACCACCTTTTTACATCCATAAAGGCCAATGGATCCTCGTTAGTGTAGATGTGCTATGCGAATTGAGATGAAGACCTCATGGGCTCAACGAGCAAATCTAAGAAAACGTTTCCTTATAAGCCAACACCGTCGAGTAATTTATCTCATTCATCTTCTTCCGAGTTTGCTGTTGTAGTATGATTTCTTTCCTAAATTGTGTGTTTTCAATAGGAAAATGGAGGGAGAAACTCTTTTGCTTGGTGTTACCCATCCATGTATCAGTGGAAATAATAAATAACTTGCTCAGATTTAGTAATGAATATGAACAAAAGGTATCTAATTTGCACAAAGAGAACAATACATATGCTGTGAAAACTTCGTATTTTGGTTTTGTTTGTGGATTTGTTGTAAGGATAAAACTATTTGTACATAATTTTGCTTACCGAAAATGTTACACCCTTTCACATGTGTGCGGGGCCCACATGAATAAAAAAA